TCAGCAACTACAGAAATTTCAGAAAGAAACATTAAATATATTGTCTTCAAGAACTTATTTTCATGTATAAAAAGTTTACAATGTAACACAAAAAAAGCTAACGATAAGATCAAGAGCATGATCACTAGCAGAAAAGAAGAGAAATATATAGTTTATAGACAAATATAAATCGTATTGCAGGCCTGTAGTCAGATCATTGAATGGGGTGGTTATTTATTTAATTATTTTAAAAAAGTGGACCTTATTGCAGTTATTCGCCTCATAGTTTAATAATTTATGAGGTTCAAATACTTCATTTTAGTGAAATTTTAAGCACTAATCTTTGCTGTAGCTTTATGCAACAAAATATTTTCTACAATTTTGTCAAAGTGCTTACAGTACCATAGTAATTTACCAAAAATTGTGTATTTACAATTGTGCATTTTAAACTCTAAATTAAAATTACAGTTTTTAAAATAATGTTATGGGATTAGAATTTTAAATTTGTGAATAAAGAAATATGAAACATATTTACTTTTAAAATACAAATGTATTATCACCCATCATTAAGAAAAGCAAATTAGGAATCTGTTAAAAAGTAATCTGTTAAAATCTGTTTTAAAACAAAAACTGTAGCCTGTAGGCAAATAACAAAGTGGCCAGCTCATTTCCTCAGTCAGTTTTTTTTCCATTTAAATAATTAAAATGTAATGTTTCCTAAAGTCTTCTTCTATCTGTTATTTTCACAATTTATGTTGGTATACTTTAAAAAATGGGACACATGAGCTCATAAAGGGCCCAAATTTTGAACTTTGTCAGTGGGGGTGGGTCTTTCGAACAACCAGAACCTACACTGGCATAGGGCCTGTATTGTAACAAAGACGAAATTTATATAATAAATTAATAAATTAATTTTATCCCAAAGAGATTTAACGTGAGTGGGTTGAGCCATTTGTATTATTTAAAATAAAACGGAAATAAATAAGGAGACTAAAGTATTATTTAATTAGCCTATATATTTAATTTAGATATGATCTGTCTGTGTTAATGTAAACAGTATCGTTGCATAACCTTCATTGATAACATCAGTAATAGCGAAACTGTGTATATTATTATCACTATAAAAAGTATGTCACTGTCTTTGTAACTTGGGCAGTAATGCAAAGTAAATAAGTGAATAAATAGCATAAATGAAAGGAACAGGAGGAACCAATATCTGTCACCTATAAGATTAAAATGCCCCCTCAGTTATGAAATCCTGGCCTTGAGCTTCTCAATGAATGCGGTTATCATTTTTTCCCTCCTATGATGAAACTTTCCTTCATACTTTAACTCATAGCGACATCTTCTGGTTATTCGCAGCGAGTCCGCTGTAATTGTCACAAATATTCAGTAATCCAAAAGAGTGTCAGAATATTAATTAATATACAGTTACACAATTTGATAAACGGTTTTAATCATCTGTAGCTACACAAATATGTAAATACGACTAGTGTGAGGTCAAAACATTTTATTTTGAACTCAAACATTTTAATTACATTTTATGATACATCTAGAGTAAATATTTTAAATAAAAGTTGACAAGTTTTACAATAAAAACAATATATATATATATATATTTTTTTTTTTTTTTTTTTTTTTAGAAACTTATATAAATAATTTAAGAAAAGATTAATCAAAGAGGGGCAGCAATTGTATTGTAAACGTATAAGGATCGAACAATTAAGGCGAACACGGCAGACAGAAATCATAGACTGTAAATATATGAAATATGGTAAAAATGTAGCATAAACCCAAAATAATAATAATAATAATAATAATAATAATAATAAAAGGTCAAGGACAACAACAACAGCACGTTGAAACAACATTATAAAGCTGCAGGACAAGACCCACCTGCACGCAGACCTGCACTTATCGTTTTCTCATGCTCCCTGCTTACACAATTTTTCTACTATAAATTATTACGCTATGATTGAATACATTATTATATACAATTATTAAACATATTGATTTAATACATTAATTCTGTTGTATTTGTATTAATTGTATTTGTAAATAGATAGCCTATTGTTAAGTTAAATATTTAAAAAGTAATTTATCGTTTAGTTTTTTTAATCATTAGGGATTTATCACACTATATTGAGTTGAGGGAATAAGGATTATCTCTTTCTTCACAAACAATAAATTATATTACTCCAAGTATTTTTTTTTACAACAAACATTATTTTTGTGTAATTTATAATGAGGTCCTATACAAGTCATTAAACTGTAAACAATGCAGAGAAAAATTTAGCAAAATAATAATTGGATTATTAATTATTTATTACATAGGAAATGACATCAAATAAAACAAATGCTTCTTGTTGAGGATATTTTTTCATTTCTCGAGCAAAAAACAGTGGAAAAATCCCACCTTTTTTAATCGTAACATCAATCTGGGAAAAAATACACAATTCACAAGCAAATGATCTTTTACAGCTCATATTGTCAATTCTGTGCAGATTAACTGATATTTTGATTTCCAAAGATCTTATTTGTAATTATTATAAACAATTGGTAAACTGTTTATGTGTTGTTACTGTAATTGTCTTGGCTAGCAGATTTTAGATTGATAATATGTACAGTAGACCTACATAGCACTAAAATATGTTACAAATAACAATTGCATATTATTTGAACAGTTTTACTTTAATTTGTTATATTTTGCTAGAAAACATTGCTATAAAATTGTCCCAGAATGGTACAAAAAACACAGAAAATAAGCGCAAGCTGTAAATATCGTAAATTAATGCTATATTTTGACATTACTTTTTATCAAATTAAACACTGAAATAATTGTTTGTTGGTTTAATAAGATGGCACATTGATTTATGCCATAAAACCTGGTGATTTTCAGGAATCGCTTTAATAAAATCAATAACCTTACTCACGTGTCTGATGTTGCTACTTGCTAGAAAGTGCTGGTCTGCGTGCAGTGGGTCTCTGTACCTGCAGTACCGTACCGGTCTGAGAAAAGGAGGTCTTGAGCGTGCAGTTGGGTCTCAGGTGGCCTGCAGATTCACCCTACTCCGCCGGGGGCGGTAAATGTACAAACGGTACAGAAAGGAACGAAGAAGAAGACGAACGTCACTGAATGAACACGGAAAAAGAATGGAAGCAAAGACTCGGGACGCGTGTTCAGCAGAGCCCAAATCTCTGACACCTTTACAGAAACAGATGCTTAAAAGACAGCAGGAGTTGGAATACTGGAAGCTGCACTCAAAACAAGTCCGAA